AGCAATGAGGAACAACTTTGTTGTTCTTCAAAATAAAAATAGGATTTCCTTTTATGTCAGCCGATGAGGGCCTGTTCTATCCAAATTTCAGGCTGTCCAATGAAGGTTTAATATAAATTCAAAAATTTAATAACTGGTTTCCAGCTGCCTTCTCTCACTCCGGAGACCACTAACACAGACTTCCATGTTTAATATTTTAACTGTCTAGTTTTCCTGTTGCTCTACTCATTAGGCAAAAAAACCTTATATTAATTTGTGAAATAAGGCATGGTGATGCCTTGATTCTAGGCTTTTGAGACCCTGTGCAGAGGCCCAGCTATGCAGTGACTGAGCTCCTGCCCCATGGGAAACGTGAGATGACAGATGTGTCTTGCTTTAGACTACTAAATTCAGGGCAATCTGTTACACAGCAACAGAAAATGAAAACATCCTATACTCCAATTTGTTGGTACCCTGGTTCTATATTTCAGAATCCATGAGCTAGGATTAGACTAAATGTGGACATTTTTCTTCACAGCAATAGCTACCTGACTATACTCCAAGTATCTCACCAAAAATATGATTCCCCATTACAGTACCCTTCCCATGAGGGGCCATGTATGCTCAGAATCAGGGCAGCCTATCCCTCCTCAGCTGGAACCTGAGCCATTCAGTTTTTCCTCCAGTTAGTCTGTGAGGCCTGGTCAGTTTCCATGGCTACTTCATGGCTCCATCCATTCCTTCTCCCTTCTGTCGGGACTCGTACTTTCTAACATTAGCTACAGTCACTACAGCATTATCCATCATCTGCCACCAACAATACACAGAACAAAGGCTTTAAACTGAAATTGGCCATAAAACTTAGATCAGTATATGGGTTAGAATAAGTAACAAATATGAAAAAAATTCTGGAAGTATACAAAAAGACAGCTGTACTTCAAAAAACTAAACCTATTACATTGCTTTTGTTATTCTGAAAATGAGGCTCAAGCTATAGATTTAAAACCAAAATAGATCCTGAGATTGTGCTAAATAAGTGGATTTGATATAAAGTAATCAAGTTAAGAAAAACCATGAACCAGGAATTGCATTTCCTTAGCTATGATTCAGAGGTAGCTTTGTGAAAATAAAAATTACTGGGTTTTTTAAACCCAGCAGTTATATTTTGTCTATATCAGGACTCAGCAAATTTTTTCTATAAAGGGCCAGGTAGATAATAGCTATTTTAGATTTTGTGGGCATAAGGTCTCTGTCACAACTACTCAGATCTGCCATTGTGGTTTGAAAGCAGCCCTAGATAATAAGAAAGCAAATAGGCAGACTGTATTCCAATAAAACTTTATTTACAAGCACAGGTGGCTGCCAGATATGGCTCACAGGCTATAGTTTGCCCACCTATGGTCCACGGAGAATAATGATAATCATTTAAACAAATGAGTGTCTCAAAAACTTACTGCTTAATTTTATCATTTCTAGGTCCAAATCTTGGTCCAGATGGTCCCCTTCTGAAAACAAAATACCCAGTACACATGAATAATGAGAGCATTAAAAAAACAAAGACAAAAACAGAAAATACACTCAATCAAGGTGAATTCTAAATAGTCATTTACCATAAAGAACCACATTTTACTGGTATTGCTGGAACTGAATGGTATGTAATCATGTCTCAATTAACCTAATTCTTCTGAATATAACTTTCAGAGAAATTAGGATTTATGTTGTCCTTAGTTACACACAGGATGTTCTAATGATTAATCTTTGAAATACCATAACAATGAAAGTGCCAGTGAGTATGAATAGCTTTATGATCAATTATAGAAAACTAAAAGTACAATTCACCTTGAATTTGGGCTATAATGAAATGCTGATTATCAGGGATGGATGCCGAGAAAAATCCATTCAAAACACTAAAAATTTACACATGCTTTTTGATTACTCATCTTAAACTTAACAATATGGCTAAAGAGAAATGCGGGAGTATATGAAAATATCAACATATTATTATTTCTCTCTTATAGTCAAATGTTGTATCACTTTAACAAATCCATTTTAAAATTCTGGAAATAAAAACACTTTTAGATATTTTAAGTCTTCTTCTGATGATAGAGAATAAGGTATAAACTATAAAACTCAAAAGAAAATGGGTTTTGTACTAATTAAACACTAATTCCCCAGTCCCCATTCCTCTCAGCCCCTGGCAGCCTCTATTTTATGTCTCTATGAATTTAACTACTCTAGGGACCTCATTTAAGTGGATCATGTTAAATGTATCCTTTTGTGACCAGCTTCTTTCACTCAGCATAATGTCATTCATCCATGTTGTAGCCCTGTCAGAATGTCCTTCCTTTTTAAGACTAATAGTCCACTGTACGTATATATCACATTTTGTTTCTCTCCATCCACTGATGGACACTTTGGTTGCTTCTAACTTTTGGCTATTGTGAATATTGCTGCTATAAACATGGGTGTTGATTAATTTTTAAAAATTATTTCAAGAACTTTACTTGATGTATCTCCTTTTCAACACGCAGACAAAACTGCAGGGTGTAGCAGTTGCATTGTGGACAAGTGTGCTGGTGTTGCCAGGCCCTTTGGAAGATGCACAGCATGATTTGGGAGTGAACCTCCAGTGACAACTATTGCCTGAAGAGTTAGTGATTCTCACAGGGTGTCTAAACTACATTCAGGTAATCACTCATTTAACCAAAGCATCTGGCCTGCTATCCAACACTGAGTTCCTTTTGACAGGTAGTTATTGCTGTAGACTAAGGCTTCTTACCGTAATCAGTAATGTCAGCAATTAGCTTTGTGACTCTATGGAAATCTTGTCACTTGTAGGAAATTATCTTCCCACTTCATCTGACCTTCCTGCAAAAAATGATACTATTTCCTGTAATTGGATTCATTTTGTTTATTGCTTCATGGTTGTTAATTACTTTTTAGAAATGTTTTTATTTAGGGGGAAAAAGCCTCTACAAAAAACTTCACATCATAACAAAGGGGGAAGTAGGTGTTTTCTCTCAGGCATGTCTCTACATTAATCTTGAGTAAACTGCAACAGCACATCATCCTTCCTGACTCTGTAAATACAAACCCAGGCTTGTATGAGATCCCTTTCTAAACATAAATGTGAAGGATTGATCAGGTCAATTAATTCTGACAAAGTATTAAGGCAATTCAATGGGGAAAGAATAATCTTTTCATCAAATGGTGGCAGCACAATTGGATAGCAATATGCAAAAAATAAAAAACAAAAAATTCCTTGACTTAACCATATATGACAATTAATTTAAAATATATAATAGACCTAAATGTAAAAGCCAAAACTATAAAGCTCCTAGAAAAAAAAGAAAATCTTAGTGACACTAGATTTGGAAAAGGATTCTTAAATAAGCAAAAAATAACTTTTAAAAAATTAATAAATTTATTTCATCAGAACTTTGATTCTTCAAAAGATACTGCTGCGAAATGAAAGATTTAGCTGCAAATTGGGAGGAAATATTTGTAAAACATCTCTGACAAAGAACTTGTTTCTTAAAAAGATCTTATATAAATAGCTCTTAATAAGACAAATTTAAAATTGGGCAAAAGATTTTAACGTATAACTCATCAAAAAAGACATGAAGATGAAAAATATGCACATAAAAGATGTTCGACCTAATTTATGATTAGAGAAATGCAAATTAAAACCTAATGGGATACCACTACACACCCACAAGAATGGCTAACATGAAAGAGTGCTGGTGGGGATCAAGAGCAACTGGAACTCGCATGTGATACTGGTGGAATATAAAATGGGACATCACTTTGGAAAATAACTGTATACACACCAACCAGTCTATACCTAGATATTTACCCAAAGGAAAAGAAAGCAGATGTCCACACAAAAAACTTGTACAGAAATGTTTATAGCAGCCTTTTTTATAATAGCTGAAAACTAGAACTACCCCCCAAACAGCCATCAATAAGTGAATGAATGAATTGCAGGATATTAATACAATGGAACACTAATCAGAAATAAAAAGAAACAAACTTGATATATGTGACAGCATGGATGAATCTCAAAATAATTATGCAGAGTGAAGCCAGTAAAAAAAAAGAGGCATAATGTATGGTTTCACTTATAAAAAAATTCTACAAAATACAAACTATAGTGGTAGAAAGCAGGTCGGTGGTTGCCTGGGGATTGGGAGAGTGAGAGACTACCCCGGGGCACGAGGAAACTTCTGACGTGATGGTGCTGTTTAGTATCTGATTTTGGTGATGACTTCACAGGTGTAGAGTACATAGGTCATAACCCATATTGCATACTTTATATATCAATTACATCCCAATAAAGCTGTTCAAAAAACTTACAGAAAAAAGTCCTCTTCTTCATCTGAATCATCTTCCAAAAGGTTTCTCTGTCGACAAAAAAAAAAAAAAAGAGAGAGAGAAAATGAAGTTTTCAGATTCCTGGTCAGGAGAGTAATAAGACAAGTTCTGTCCTGGGGAAATTTCTGAACTCCAGGCTTCCAGGGGGAATAGTAATTACATGTGCCTCACCGGAAGCTGAAAGGTCTAGCACCACAATGGCAGACTTTCTAAAGAAAATGCTTCTAACAGCAGAATCCTGTAACTGACCACAGGGCAGAAAGGTCTCTGAAGCGGGAGTGGAGTAAGGACAGCGGGCAGTCGGGAGAAGCAAGTGCCTTCTCTTCCTTCTGCCTTCCAGCTGCTCTCTATCCAGCTTTCATTGAACAGAGATGCTTGGGCATCTCCCATGTGCTGGGCACTGTTCCAAGGACCAAGCACCAGCTCTGAACACCACAGACAAGGTCTGAGATCTCACAGAAAAATATCTGATGATAAATGCTATGCAGAGAATTAAAACAGTGATGGGATAGAAAGGGACAGGGTGACTAAGTGAGATTAGGCTGTCAAGGAAAATCACTCTCAAGGGTGAAATTGAAGCTGAGATCCAATGGGTAACAAAGAGCCAACCAAAGATCAGGGTGAAGAGCATTCACGGCCAGCAGAGGGACCAGCTAGTACAGAAAAAGTCCCAATGGATTAGTGACCATGATAACTGTGAACAGCTTAATTTCTCCTTTTAAAGACAAAAACTATACATTCAACATTTTCCAGCCAACATCTGTTTACAAGAAATTCCCCTAAAACACATGTCAAGTAAGAGATGAAAAAAAGAGGTGGGAGAGAGACGTCAGCAAATTCTAACAAAAAGGATGTTAGAGTTAGCAATGTTAATAAAAGAGGAATTTTAGGACAAAGGCATTACACAATAAATAAAAAGATTTTATAATGATAAGATGCACAGTTCACCAAGAAGATTTAACAATGAATGTAACAATATAGCTTCAGAATATATTAAGCAAAAGCTACTTAAATTACATTCAAAATTGTAGGGCAGAGTTAGCATACTGTTCAGAGATGGAGAAACTAAGACAAAAAAGAAATAATACAGAACCTTGTACTCAGCAAATGTTATTTTCAAACATCCAAGGAAAGGATAAGCCTCAAAAGAATTTTAATAAATTCCAAAACCTACAGAGGTCGCATTCTCTGGGCAGAATGCAATGGAAATGAGAACAAATAACAAAAGGAAATTTTAAAACGCTTTTCTTCTAATTAACACATTAAAATGTAAATGGAAGTTTAACAGACTAGTTACAAATGAATGATTCTGGGACATTACAGAACAAAACCGCAGGGTATGTCGCAGTACTTAAAGGAAAATGTGATCTTAAATGCACTTATTTATGAAGTCACAAAGACCGACAGTATATCAAATAGTATTTAACTCTTAAGATGGGTAAGTTACTCCTAAGCAACATACAACCCCAGGAGTCTTAAAGATAAAGATTAATGGATTTGATTACATAAACATTTAAAATATGAAGAACATAAGACATCATAAACAAGGTTAAATGGTAAGTAACAGATTGGACAGAAATAAAATCTGCAACATACTTTTGGACCAAAGGTCTAATATCTATATTATATAAAAAGCTCTGACAAACCAGTAAGAAAAAGACACATTACAGAAAATCATCAAAGGAGAGGAATTGACAATTCCCAATAAAAGAATAGCCAATGACCACATGAAAAGATGTTCGAAGTCAATAATATTCAGGGAGATGCTTTAATTCCTCAACAAATATTTCTGGAATGCTAGTCTGGCTAATAACTAACGGATAATCATTACCTTTATGATAGTTTATTTGCCTTAGAGGGTGATGATACTAAAGATGAAGTGTTTGTATTATAGCTGTACATTGAGAAACATATGAAAACCAGTATTTTTATACCCATTCATTGAACAAACACTAGTGCTAGAAATACAGTATCAAAAAAAGATAATGGAATACAATGAGGTACCACTAGATAAATGAACAAGTGTTGGTGAGAAGAAATTGGCGGTGAGATGTGTGGAGAAACGGGAACATACATATATTGCTGGTGGGAAGGTAAAAGCTGTGCAGCCACTTTGGGAAACAGTTTGGCAGTTCTTCAAAACACTGAACACGGGGCAATTCTATTAGAGGAATTCAGAAATTCCACTCCTAGGTGTTTACCAAGATAAATGAAAACGTGTGTTCACACAAAAACTTGTACATGAATGTTCATAGCAGTGGTATTACTCGTAACAGCCAAAAAGTGGTAATAACCCCAAATGTTTGTCAACCGATGAATGGATAAACAAAATGTGGTATGTCCATATAACAGAGTATTATTCAGCAAAGAAAGGAATGAAGTTTTTACAAAGGGAATGAAAACGTATTTTTAGTCTTTTTTTTTTTAAAGCCTAAGATTCTGAACTTACCCTTTCACTTTTCACAGAACCAGTGACATCGTCATCATTTAGGTGGCGCTTGAACTTGGGAGGCATGTTTTTTTTTCACTCTAGAAGTACTCTTCTACTTCCCGGCAGAATAAGTACTTACCACCTTAAAGAGAAAATAGGTTTCATCAGATCTGAAACTCTGGGGTATAAGGTAAAGTACTTACAATAGAGTACAAGGCCCTATGTGAAGGGGCCTCCTTCACTTCTCTGACTTCAAGTACTCTCTTCTCACTTGCTCCTTTCCAGGGACCTCCACAGTAGGCTCAATACACAAGGAATAGTAAAAACCATAAGACACTAGATGTAACTTTCTTAGGAGAACATGTGGAGGAAATAAGTGCATGAAAAAGCAGACTGTACAGGGGGAAAATGCAGGAGGTGCTTCCCTGAAAGTGAGACATTGAATATCTTAGGATTTTAACTTGGAGTCAGAAAACAGCAGAACACTTCTAGTGCTCACTTTAGGTTAGTTGCTTGAACAATGATTCAGTTCCCTCATCTGTAAAATAGTGCTTTCCAGCCCTGGCTGGTACGGCTCAGTTGGTTGGGCATTGTCCCATGCACCGAAAGGCTGACAGTTCAATTCCCGGTCAGGGCACATGCCTGGGTTTCAGGCTCAATCCCTTGTAGGGGCGTGGAGGCAGCTGACCAAAGCTTAGCTCTCACAGTAATGTTTTTCTCTCTCCCTTCCTCTCTCTCTAAAAATCAATAAAAATATTAAAAAAAAAATAGTGCTTTCTAGGCTTCTGCATGGAGTTGGGACGGCCTAATCAGATAATACATGCAAAAAAGTTCTATAAACTCTAACATCCTGTTCTGAAGCTAATAGCACTGGGTGTGCCAAGAAAAGGGATGTTTGGTAAGAACTGTTCAACAAATCCAGTTTTGTTTTGTTTTTCTTACAGTAAGTCTCACTTCCTTTTATGTGCTAATATGCATTGTGATTTTTTTCCCAGAAAAATGCTTCAGTCTGCAACATACATTTTTCTTGAGTAAAAGCTGACACATGCAGATATGAGTTTTCAGTATCTTGGACTAGAGGACAGATGAATAATGAGACTAGTTAAGGAGTACCCAAAGTTTTACTGTGTGCTGGGCACTGTGCTCAGGGATTTATGTGTGTTTCCTGTTACTCCTCTGAAATAGGCATTAAAAACTAAAAGAAAGCTAAGGCTTAGTAAAGATAAGAAATTAATAGTGTTAGTCACTCTGCTCACTGAAATAGCAGAAACATAGGCCTCAATCAATGGCTGTGAGTGATCAGTTATATTTATTCAGTTAGTGGCCCATCAGGTTACACAGCTGTGTTCTAGAAAGACCACCTCCCTATAACAACCCTTTGGTTTCTTCCACATGAGGAAACCAAAGATGATTTTCAAATTAGGTATAGCTGGACATTGGTTTGTTGGTTAATGGTATGCAGTAAAAAAATAAACAAGTCCAGAGTCCAGTTTCATAAATCAAGTAAAAGTAAAATTTTAAGTTGGCTTCCTGTCAAAACTAATTGACAGACACTTTCTTTTGATAAGAAATGCTTCTGAACCAGACACTTAACCACGTGTAAGAAAAAACAAACTCTTGCAACCTGAGTAAACAACTCTAGAGTCAACAATATCTCTGTCCCACACATATGGCACATTTTATTTCTCTAGCCTTGATTTCAGAATAATTTGCTCATGCAGAAATGTCACAGAACCCCTGGGGGGGGGGAACCCACAAATGACAAAGGAAGCAACTAAAGAACTGAGCTTTTCATTATTCCTGTATTTTGTTTGCATGTTAAACCCCACAAAGGGGCTACCTGAACCTCCCAAAGCAAGTAACAGGCAGACTTACATAACATCTTTATGAGACAGACAGTGAAGCTACAAGCTTAATGGTGAGCAAGACCCACGTTCAGGATCAGCCTCAGGAAGGCAAGAAACCAGCATCTGACCAACAGAAAAGCCATCAGCAAAGCAGCAGGCAGATTCATGAACTACGCATCATGAACCACAGGGCAACTGGTATCTGTACCAAACGACTCGTAGAAAAAAAAAAACATGCTTAGAAATTAGACTTATATATATTCTACCTAAGATGATCTCTGCAAAACCGCCTATGCATTCAGGTGTCTGTGTCTAGGTATACATGTAAATAAGAGAATTCATGATGTATTTCATCATGGAGGGCAGAACAGCGATGTACAATTCACCTAAAAAAAAGTCATTACCGTCTGCTTCTTATGCCATCCTCCTACGTTTACAATGTCATGTATGTATTTTTGCAAGAGGCAGTACTTTCTCTGTTTAGGGCCTTTACATATAACACACTTCTAGCCTGTCGTTTAATAAACGTTGGCAAAAAGTAACGAGAAACCCTGTTTCATTTCGCGCAAGGCTGGCACCCCGGCGGAGGCTTCCCTGTCCCGGCCTCCCCTCCCTTTCGGACGCCTCTTCCCCTTCTCCCGTCCGCAGGCGAGGCTGGTGCGGCTTCCGGGAAACCGGTGACTTGAACTGGACACAGCCAGGAGATGCTGCCATTCACATAACCTCCCAGACTTTAGGCATCGAGCCTTTGAAATCCCGACCCAAGCCCGGCCCTCCAGCCGGCGGCTCCCCCTCCTCCCCCAGCTGTCGCACCAGGTCCGCTCCTAACTCTGGTCCTTCCCGCCCGCACACCCGTCCCCGTCCCCGTCGCCCTTCCTCAGAGCGCCCCGGCCCGACCCCTGCCTCCTCCCGCTCGGGGCTCCCTCCCGAGCCCCCAGGCCGGGCCCGCAGCCCGGCGCGGACGTTGCGGAGCCCAGGCGTCGTCTCCATTTCTTTCCTCCTCACCACCCACCACC